GGGAAAGAGGTGAAAAAGCAGTACAAATTCGTGAACGTTTACACCGAGTTCCACGAATTGTCCCGTCGCGAGATCAAGCAGTACGAGCAGACCTTCAACAGGTAAGGACTTTCCGTTTCTTTCTTCTCTTGCCTGCTTATGATTTTACCAGCAGATCGTGTGTTGAAAAAGCCGGGAAAATTTTGTCGTTCGTTGTCACTTTGAATGAATGTTCTTATTACATGCTTGTGAACCTATATTTTTCCCTTCCAAAGGGTCCATTTCCATGGTATTTCTTTGTGCGTAGAAAACTTTGAATAGCATTGTTCGATCTGTCGGTTCGTACCATAAATCCCGGCTTACCTATTCACCAACGTTGGGCACATTTTATGTGAGGTTTGATGAATTACATTTGAAAATAGAATAATATATATATACATATATACATATCTGTTATAAGTATCGCATTATCGCAAATCTATTACATTCAAAGGAAATAGAAAGTAAATTTCATCGATTAAGGTTAATAGAATTATTTATAACGGATAGTTATATTCGGCCATGTTTGATTTTTAATTATTTGAATTAATAATAGATGGCTATTCGATCGAATTCGTAATAAAAATTTAATATCATATTAAAAATGATCAAATATATACCATTTTCTGTCAGTTTTCTTCTTAATCAAATATATTATTTTCTTCGTTGTTGACATAAAATCGCAAGATAAAACGCAAGGAAATCGAGAGTGAATCACGACTCCTGTCGCGTTCACTGTGGTTTTCCTGCTTGTTTACGTTTACTCGCTCGAGTTTACGTTACTCCCTACGGACAGATCATATTCCTCTGGTCAGATACTTTTTATACGTATGAAAATACACGAAATAATGCTGGGGATCGGTTGAAACGTTATACGTCCTATTTTATTACTTCTGGTGTTTCGGTCCTGTATTTAAGTAATCGTTAAAATACTACCATTTATCAAATATAATATATGATTTATTTTTAGCGTATAGTTTAAAGTAATATACCGTTTTTTATTAATGAGACCTTATACACTCTGGTGGGTTTTTATTTTTTTTTTATTTTAAAGAAAGTTATTTACGAAGAAAATTTTGTTCCCTTATGAAAAAAAAAATTATAGTACTACTTGATTGCTATCAGTGTGATAATGTGCTAAAGAGATATAATATTTCATTATTGCGAATAAAAAATTTTTTAAATGTTGGAGCCCTTGAAGTCTGAATACTGCACAATCGTACATTATCTCAAGACCTTAATCTTGTGTATAAAGCTACAAGTATACAAATATAAACTTCCAAAGTTCCTCTGTTTCATAATTAAAAAATCTTATTAATCTGAATTGAATATCGAAGAAGAAATATTCCAAGTAATTTTTCATACAGAAATAGACTTGAAATACTTGAAAGCGTGGCCAAAAAATTTTCACAGTCACCTTGCTCATATGAAGATTCTCGTAAACGTGGAAAAAGGAAGAAAATGGGAAAGTCACGCGACCGTCGTTACGAAACCGCAGATGGCAGAATTGGTGACGTAGTTATTTCGTAGCACGCCATGGAAAAGAGCCTCCATGAGCGCGTATAGCCGTGTTGGAGGCCAGGACAGACGACCTCGAGGTCTGTCCTCCGTCTCTCTTGTTCTTCTTGTAGGTATTTCGGAGTCAACCGGACAGCAGGTTTGACAAGGCAGAAGCAGGGTGGACGGCCGGCCACTTGTGGTGCATCTTCGAAAGGCGCGCGCACGGTTATTTCGTGGTCTAGCTACGAAATCTCGACCCGCGTCCCGCGATGCAATTGTCATTTATAAAATCGTCAAGATGGCGTCGCGCAAGCGCAGTTTCATTTGCGTTTTCAGTAAATCGAAAAATATAATAATAAATCATTGATTGAAAAGAATGATCTAATTCGTTATTTGGATTATTGGATTGACTTTGGACATCCTATTAAATTTATATATAGGTACATATGGAATGTAATTTTTTAAAGTACGTATACATTTTTTAAAATTAGAACTATCCAGGTATAATATAATGTATATAACCTATAATGTGCATCCTATATAATTACAGCGGTCTGATATCAAGTTATTCCATAAATTATATCGTCTTTTATTTTACACTGTACATTTTTTTAGGGCAAACATAGATAAAACGGAAGAAAATTTAGTTCTGGCAGATTTTCATTTATTTTAATGATTAAAATGCTATAAAAATAAAAAATTGAACACAACGAAGAATCTAAAAAAGCAGTAATCGAATATTTTCCGCCAAGCTCACGTTGATATTACATGAAAGAAATTCAAGAATTATGAAATAACGTAATGCTATGTAATTCATAATACTATAGAACATAATACCATAAAACAACGGATAATACATTATTCATTAATAAATACGATTAGTGCAATGTTTCAGCGTTTCAAAGTACATACGGAAACACGACATTTGTATGGATCGACATTCATAGTATCTACAGCCTGATAAGAAAATTGGAATCACGTTTTTTTTTATTTGATATAGCAAATATCGTTTAATGATTTATATAGTGGAAATAGCTGATAAATCTGATACTACGATAGTTTCTCCGTGAAACTAAGCACGTGGTCGAGGTATCGTATACGATGGATGATACCTCAGTCGGAAAGACGCTTAGTTCTCTTCACACTGTCACCATCCATGGAGTTGTCCTTGTTGTTAGAGAAACCAGCTACCCACTTTTCCTCGCTTCTTGGTCTAACCGATCTTACCGCAGTTGAACAAGTTTTTTTCTTCCTTTAAAAATTACGCTGTTGAATTTTATTGCCCACAACGGTGGAATGGTTCAACTTCTAACTCTATTAAACTCTTCAGTGGTGAGCACGATGAAGCTTTTATCTGGAACTTAAAAAGACTTAAAGAATATTAGTTACATATATGAAATAACGATATGAAATTTGTTGGAATTCTAGAAACTCCCAAGAAATCGTGCCTAGGTGCTTCGAATATGAAGAAAAGAACCCCGTGTACTTCTAACTTTCAATTTAATTTTTTTTGTACTACATAGCGATGAACGGATGAGTGCGAATGAGATTAACTTCCGTTCTAGAAGAGATACAGTAACTGTCAGGGGTTTCCGGCCAAACTATGAGTATATTTCAGTTTAAATTGTAGTAAAGAAGATTTTTATTTTCATAAAATTTATAGTAATACTATGATCAACTTATAAAATTGATAGAACGTATAAATATTTAAGGACACTAAGTGCTATAGGTATTTGTACAATAGGTGCTTATTTTCAATGACTTCGTATTTATTTAAGCAACATAATAAAGTAACATTTTAGCCGGAAACGCTGGTAGTTACTGTCTATTACAGTCGCTATTCATAATTGTTCCACGAACAAAACATCGTTGTTAATGCTTAATGCTAACGTTTCAACTTGCGTGAGTTGGAATGAAGTGACTCAACATTCGCTAACCACCGCATATCTCGCATAAAAGTTAAGACATTAGAAATCTAAACCTTAGGTACTGTTATGGTCGCTACTGTCGGCCATTATTATCTTTCAAACAAAATATTTAACCAGATAGCAGCATGACGTTATTTCAATATTTTGCCCAGGATAAATGAAGTGGATGGTGTGATAAGTAATTTACCAGGAATCCTCGAGCCCCTAACCACGGATAAGGCAATCTCATTCGAAAGTTGACTAAAAGTTGATCCACTTACGAAGAAGGGACATTTTCTTCGCGATGAGGGACACGTATATCGCAAACTAGTTCCCAAGTTTTGGACCAGTGATATCGTTGAAGTTCCAACATTTTTCTTGTTAACAATCATCGATAAGAAAGTTTGAACGTAACGAATAATGGAGAAAAATTTATTATACCGATATTATACGACGCCTACAAAGCAAAGCGATGGGGATAATGTTGATCTAGCTACTTGGAAGAATGATACACAATCTAAATAAAATATTGATCGATTCGAGCAATGTAGATACGATGACAATGAACTAATGGTTATATCTTTCATTTAGAACGTCATTATTCTAATCGTATTCCCTGTTTAGAAGTGGAATTCCACGCGTCAAGGCGATGCAGACTCTGCTCACCTTACCATCCCACACATGGGTGCAATTTAATCCCATACTCGTAAACATTCTCAAAAGAAGTAGTAATCGTAAACGGTTTAATAGGCACTTCACTACTTAAGAAGGGAATATTATGGCACCTTTTTGTTTTAGGTGATGACGTCAAGCTTGCGTACTAAAGACACCGAGGAACGTTTTTTCTCTCCCTTTTCCTTTCTGTTATGAAAAGTGCTAGATTACACAAAGTAATTAAGAAATCACTTATACAAATGACTTTATGACTCGTTAAAGTGTCAGTGGTAAACTGTGATGGTTCTGACTCATTAGAGAGATTTGAGTGGTGATTTTAACTGGTTGGTTGATCTAGAACTCCAGTTTATAATTGGGGCCATTGATGGAAAAGGGGCACATAAATATTTTGGAACTTATGAAAAAAGGTATATATCATCTACGAATTCTGATCTGTATTTTTAAGACAACGGTTCTCAACTTTTTTCTCGTGCACTAGCAACAAATATGTGATCAATACGTGTTCCACTTTGTATGAATATTATTTATCCTTTTTAAAATTTTTTATTTTTTATTTTTTATTTTCATCTACTATTCTTTCGTTCGTCCAGTTCGTTCAAAATAAAACATATTTAATGTACACGAGTAAATCGTCGACTAACCTGCGTGTATCTTGTCGCGTGCAGCGAACGATTTCATTTCTGAGCTCGCTGACCGGTAAAGGGTTAAAAAAGACTGGCTTTTACGCGTTGAAAAACCAAAACGAAGCACGTTCGACTCGTAATCGAGGCGAATAACAGGCGGTATCGTGGTTTCTTTGTCGCATAAAAGTAAAAGGTCGTTTGGTATCCGCGAATTTCACAACACGATTTCTAGCGTTTTAGATAGTGTTACACAAAACCGTTCTATCCGCTCGGATATAATTACACCTGTCTCTCGAGCTATTTCTAACGATGGAAATTTCACAGAAATTCCAAGGTATCCCTGTCCAATATATCATTACAAGCCTATTAATGACTCTT